CTTTTTTCTTTTTGCTTATGTGGTGCTGAGGAATCGAACCCAGGGCCTCAGGCATGCAAGGCAAGCGCTCTACCACTGAGCCAACTTCCCAGCCCCCCCCTATAAAATTTTAACTTAATGGTTTTCACCCCTTTCTGGGGAAGCAATAAGTACTAGGATTTGAATTCAGGGCCTCTAGATTAGCATACTGTTTGCCTTTTAGGAGCCATACCTCTAATCTGGATTTTTGCTAATTATTTTGGAGATGAAGTCTTAGTAAATTTTTCTACCTAGCCTTGAACTGTGATCCCCCTGATTTTAACTTCTGAGTAGCTAGGATTATAGGTGTGAGCCAATAGCACCTGGCTAATTTAGTGTTTTGATTTTTATTATATATATATATTTTTTTTTTCTTAAACTACTGGCCGGCCAGGCACGGTGGTTCATGCCTGTAATCCTAGCTACTCAGGAGCAGAGATCTGAGGATCGCAGTTCAAAGCCAGCCCAGGCAGGAAAGTCCATGAGACTCTTACCTTCAATAAACCACAGAAAACTGGAGGTGGCGCTGTGGCTCAAGTGGTAGAGTGCTAGCCTTGAGGTGAAAGTTCAAGTCCCATGACTGACAAAAAAAAAAGCTACCAGCCATCTGAGTGACCACCTTATGACCCAGTGGCAAGATTTCAATACAGTATGTTTGTTTGTTTTTTTTTGGTTCCGGTCGTGGGGCCTGAACTCTGGGCCTGGGCGCTGTCCCTCAGCTCTTGAGCTCAAGGCTAGTGCTCTACTAGCACTTGTGCCACAGCGCCACTTCGGGCTTTTTTTCTTTTTTGCTTATGTGGTGCTGAGGACTCGAATCCAGGGCCTCATGCATGCAAAGCAAGTGCTCTACCACCTTCCCAGCCCACAGTAAGTATGTTTTATCTGTGGTTTCATTAAACAATTTTGACTAAGTACGGTTGAAACAAACAAAATTTCCCTGTGCCTTATGCAATTTGGCAGAAAGAAAAAAAAACTTTCAATTAGTCCTGTGCAATTAGTGTTTAAATCATTGTGTGGTAAGTATTTCTCTACCCTTAATTTTGTTGTTGTTTTTTCATGGATCTTGAACTCTGGACCTGGGCGCTGTCCCTCAGCTCTTCAGCTCAAGGCGAGCGCTCTATCACTTCAGCTACAGCGCCATTTCCTGTTTTCTGGTGGTTAATTGGAAATAAGAGTCTCACGGACTTTCCTGCCTGGTCTGGCTTTGAATTATGATTCTCAGATCCTAGTCTCCTGAATATCTAGGATTACAGGCATGAGCCACTGGCACCTGGCTACCCTTAATTTTGTGAAAATACGCTTCATCCCTATGACCCATCAATCCCACTTTTGGGTATTTACCTAAATGTTTACAAACAAGCCCACACTAAAGCTACCAGCACAACAATGTTTATTGCAGCATTATTTACCATAGCTAAGATATGGAACCAACCCAGATGCCCCTCAGTAGATGAATGGATCAAGAAAATGTGGTATATATACACAATGGAATTCTATGCCTCCATCAGAAAGAATGACATTGCCCCATTTGTTAGGAAATGGAAAAACTTGGAAAAAATTATATTAAGTGAAGTAAGCCAGGCCCAAAGAAACATAGGTCCCATGGTTTCCCTTATTTGCAATATCTAATATATGTATGAGTCAAGCGGAAAAGGTCAGATAATGTGATGTCAGGAAAATGAACCCTTAGATATGTATTTTAATGTTTTTTCTTTCATGCATGTGTTTCTAATGCATTTATAAGATTATCTCTTTGTTGCTTTGTATGTCCCTCCCCCACAGTATAACCCCTGCTTTCACTATATTTGATGTCAGTATAACTTGTGGAGGAGATGGGGAAAAACCAGTTGTTTAAGGATACAGGTGGGCCTGTTGCAACAATGAGAAGTACAAGTTGTCATGTCCAAAACGAGCTTTACAACGTTGGTGGGGGGGGAGGGGAGGGAAGGGGAGGGATAAGGAGAAGGATTGGGATTGGGGGGGAGGGGGGAGGCTGGGAAGGGATGTGAAGGGTAAACCAAAGGAGGAGGCTGCAATGCTTGGTAAGAAATGTACGCATTATCCTGCCCATGTAATTGTAACTCCTCTGTACAGTATGTTCACAAATAAAATTAAATTAAAAAAAATACGCTTCATAAAAGGTGAACAGTATCCAAAAGACAAGGTAAAAGTTATGCCAATCCTCCTATGCCAAAATGGGCACACAATGTGCTTAATTAATGTGATAAAGTACACACTTTAGATTTGTTGCAAGGTGGCAATGTCTTTATGGAAGCTAGACAGTACTGGGGGGAAAAGAATGAAAGAAGATCTAGTTTTGGGGCATGGCAGATTTAAGCAATTTTTTTAATAGTACTAAACTTTATATATTCTGAGTACTCTTGGTGTTTCCTCATGGAACTCTCCTTTAAACTATATAACCACAGATACTAAGAATCGACTCTATTCACATTTGTGTTTTCCATGTTGGTACAAATTAACCAACTTTAATTGAGGACTAATAAGTAAAAAATATAAGTGGGTTAAATAAGCAAAAGCTAAATATTACCACCATGAAGAACAAAACCCTAAGAAGAAAAGTTCCAGCTCAAATATAGAAATCTGCTTTGAGACTAGAGTCATTATACAAGCAACAAAACTACAGGTATGCTAAAAAGAATTTTTGCCATAATCAGTGAGAAGAATTTTATTTCAGCATGAAAAGTAATCCACTGAGTTTACTAGGTTAATATGAAGTTTTGACTTCCATAGTTAGTTTGATTTCTAGTTATATATTTAAGTTTTACACTAGTAAATGGAGTATAATTCAATTTTATACTTTTTTTTTTTTGGTTGTGGGGCCTGAACTCTGGGCCTGGGTGCTGTCCCTCAGCTCTTCACCTCAAGGCAAGCGCTCTACCACTTGAGTCACAGTGCCACTTCCGACTTTTTTCTTTTTGCTTATGTGGTGCTGAGGAATCGAACCCAGGGCCTCATGCATGCAAGGCAAGCATTCTACCACTGAGCCACTTTCCCAGCCCCCTCAATTTTATACTTGAATATGTCCAAATAATGCAAAAATAATTAACCCTAGGGGTATAGAAGAATTTCTTTCTAAAGGGCTATCTACAGGAAACTGGGCTAACAAGGAAAATACAACAGGTTGAATACTGTTGAAATAGATGAAAATAGAAACTGTTTTGGGAAGAGGGAAGATGGAGTAATAGAGGAGGTAAGTGACTGGAACACAGTATAAATGTATATAAATCCATCCTTCCCCATAACTAATGTAATGTTTTTTAAAGGTGTTCTGTACATTGTTCAAGTTTCAGACCCTCTGCCCCATCTGATCAACTACCAGCTCGAGGAGTTAGCTTTTTACCTTTTTAACACCCAAAATATCTTCAATGAGGGTTGCTGTTTGTAAAAATGTCTTCTTACTTGTCATCAATGTAAACAGGAAGATCACAAAATCATTCTTTTCTGCCAAACGCTTTGTAACTCCTTCAGTCTGTCACAAGGAGGGAGGAGGGAAGAAAAAGTGAACAATTATAACCACAAAGTAAACATGAAGAGTAAAGGCCAGTCTGTGCTATGTAGTAAGGCTCTATCTCAAAAAGAAACAAAAAAAAGAAAAGAAAAGAAAAACAAGCAAACAAGATTTCTGATGCTGTTTGTTGTTGTTATTGCTGGTAGGGCTTGAACGCTGGGCCTGGGCACTGTCCCTTCAGCTCAAGGTGAGCATTCTACCACTTGAGCCACAGCACCACTTCTAGCTTTCTGGTAGTTAATTGAAGATAAGAGTCTCACAGACTTTCCTGCCTGGGCTGGCTCTGAATGGGGATCCTGAGATCTCAGCCTCCTGAGTAGCTAGAATTACAGACGTGAGCAACCAGTGTCCAGCCTCTTTTTTTTTTTTTTTTTAAATAAAGCAAGCAAGGGAGTTAAATCTTTTATATTTCCAAGGTATATAGCTTCTATTCTTCCATAATTTCTCTCATTAAGCAATGTATTCTGATTCACTGTTTACTATACAATATGAATCTAAAAAATAGGTACTGTGTTTTCAAAAAAAAAAACTAGCACTTTTATATTGTTTTAAAAGGACATTCACATCTATTATGTCATTTAATTCTCCTAATAACCCTATGATGTTAGATGTTAGTATGACTGCTAACTACTGTATGGATAAGAGAATGGAGATGTACTAAGCCAGAACACAAAATGAATTTGTTTGCTTTCTTCCCCATTCTTACTGGCTCATTGGTCAATCTGGTAGCATCCAACTCAATATATTGGTATGATTTCTGGTTCTGGATTTGTTTTTGAATAAGGGAAATGAAGAAACAAGAAGAAACAAGCAAAAAAAGGGTTAAAGGCCATCTTTACAAACACAGGCGCTCTGCCAATGCCTATTGTTCTTTGACCAATAATCAGTCTCTGCTTGGACATGGAGTTCAGTATCCAATGAAGTAGCCTTGGCTTTTAACAATTACTACAAAAATTCTGCCTCCTCATTATTTGTTAGTTCTATTTCGTGGGTATACATAAAACAAATCTACTCTCTCAAATGTAAGGACAGTTCCCCTTCTTGACCACTGGAGATGTGGTAGGGAGATTAATGGTGCCTCAATGTCAGGGGTACTTACACAGACACAGGTATTATACAGGATGCTCAAACAGTCCTTGGACATTTCATCACTTACTGAAAGAGAAGAGGGAATGTTATACTTCTCAATAAAAAGATAATGTAACATTACTACCTTTTTTTGAATGTAAGAACTGTTACAATTCTAAGATTACTTTTTTTTTGTATATCTATTTCTAATTTCTGTTGACCAAAGATTTTCATAGTGCCTACCTGACTTTACAATCAACACGCATACTGCATTTATTTGGTTTAACAGCCATTTTCAAGAATAAACACGTGTATCAACAAGTCATTACAAGATGTTATTTGCTATCAGGGCAGATAGATAATCATCTTAGGAGTACAAAACAGACATAAACATGAATTCTCTTAATCTCTACTGAACACATAAATGAGGTCTTATACTGTTATGTCTTATAGATACTAGGGGTGAAAATTTTCAAAATATTAAAAACATGTAGCTGGGTGCCAGTGGCTCACGTCTGTAATCCAAACTACTCAGGAGGCTGAGATCTGAGGATCACAGTTCAAGGCCAGCCCAGGCAGGAAAGTCTATGTGACTCTTATGTCGAATAAACCACCAGAAAACCTGAAGTGGTGCTGTGGCTCAAGTGTTAGAGTGTTCGCCTTGAGATGAAGACCTCTGGGACAGTGCCTAGGCCCAGAGTTCAAGCCCCATGACCAACAAAAAACAAACTAACAAAAAAGCAGGTACATGTGATGCTTGTAGGTCATTCATCAAATATTAATTGAAGTCATTTTTTAAGAGCAGATTGATGTGCACTAGTTTTTAACAATTAAACACTGAGTACCTAAAAAGAAGATCTGTAATATAGAAGTAGGTTATAAAAATTAGTAATTCCTGGGGCTGGGAAGGTGGCTCAGTGGTAGAGTGCTTGCCTTGCATGCATGAGGCCCTGGGTTCGATTCCTCAGCACCACATAAACAAAAAGAAAAAAGCTGGAAGTGGGCTGTGGCTCAAGTGGTAGAGCGCTAGCCTTGAGCTGAAGAGCTGAGGGACAGGCCCAGGCCCAGAGTTCAGGCCCCACAACCGGCAAAAAAAAAAAAAGAAAGTGTAAATAGGGATTATGGGACAGGTACTCTCCAAGGCAAAAAAAGCTAGATGCTATATAAAAAATAACTAATGCCCGGGGTTGGGGCAGTGGAGGCTTGATCTGTGGTACAGAGCGCACCTAATAAGAATATAGCCCTGAGTTCACGCTCCACCAACACTAAAATTTTTTTTTCAAAGAAAACATAAAGCAGATCATAAGACTATTAATATACAAAGATGCTTTTTTTTTTTTTTGGCAGTCGTGGGGCTTGAACTCTGGGCCTGGGCACTGTCCTTCAGCTCTTCAGCTCAAGGCGAGCGCTCTACCACTTGAGCTACAGCGCCACTTCCAGTTTTCTGGTGGTTTATTGGAGATAGGAGTCTCACGGTCTTTCCTGCCCGGGCTGGCTTTGAACCGAGATCCTCAGATCTCAGCCTCCTGAGTAGCTAGGATTATAGGCGTGAGCCACCAGCGCCCGGCTAAGATGCAATTCTTTTATCCAAATTGTTTTCTGCTTTTTCTTTGAAAGCACTAGATCTATATTTCTACTCAGCGTGTGATGAATAAAGGGAGCTGCTTAGCTGGGGATGGAGAGAACCACTTGCAGCTGAATCTAAGACACGTCCTCATTATAAACAGCTAGGAAGGGAAAGATAAGCAATTACAGGGAACTGGTACCATACTGACAGTATGCCTGACAAAAAGGCTTAAAATATACTTACTTTTTAATTTCTGTCCCCGGATAGAAATTGTGGGCCTCATAAGAATTTCTACAAGAAGCTATAAAAAAAAAGATAAAAATCTTCAAATTTGAAAACACAACTCATAAAATAATCTGTACTCTGAAAACTCAAGTAGCTGTCATAATACGCTAAAGTACTCTCATAGGACTCTTGTTCTAGGAGGCAGTGAGGGTCAATGGAAAAACACTGGCAAGAGTCCAGAAATCTAGGTTGTAGTGTCAGCCATCTAGCTCAGCCACTTATTTTCCACACAAACATAAGCAAATCAAGGCCCATCCTTGAACCTCAGCTTCCTCGTTAAAAAAAAGAGTTAGGTAAGTGGAGGCATAGCTTAAGTGAGAGTGCCAAAGTTAAGCAGAAAGAGCCAAATGATAGCGTGAGGCCCTGGGTTCAAGTCCCAATACCAGCACCCAAAAAAAAAAATTAGCTAATCTCCGGGATCCCATATGGCTTTACCTTTTTTTGTGTGTGCCAGTATTGTGCTTGAACTCAAGGACTTGGTGCTGTCCTTGAGTTTTTGTGCTCAAGGTTAATGCTCCACCATCTGGCCACATCCCTACTTCCAGCTTTTTGGTGGTTAATTGGAGATAAAAGTCTCACATACTTTCCTGGCTGGGATGGCTTTGAACTGTGATCCTCAGATCTCAGCCTCCTACATACTAGGATTACAGGCACACTTGGCCTGGCTTTAATTTTAAAGCCAAAGAACATTACTGTTAAGCCAACCACTGGTGGCTCAAGCCTGTAATCCTAACTACTCTGGAGGTTGAGATTTGAGGATTGTGGTTCAAAGCCAGCCTGGGCAAGAAAGTCCTTGAGACTCTTCAATTAATCACCAAAAAGCCAGAAGTGAAACACTCAAGTGATAGAGCACTAGTCTTGAGCGCAAAAGCTCAGGGACAGTGCCTACGCCCTGAGTTCAAGCCCCAGGATTGGTACACACACATAAAAAAAGAACACTACTACTACTATGATTCTTCTTTTTCTTAAAAAACATTTGTCTGGGCTGGGAATGTGGCTTAGTGGTAGAGTGCTGGCCTAGCATGCATGAAGCCCTGGGTTTGATTCCACAGTACCATATAAGCAGAAAAAGCCAGAAGTGGTGCTGTGGTTCCAATGGTAGCACACTAGCCTTGAGCTCAGAAAGGCTCAGAGACAGTATGCTGAGTTCAGGCCCCAGGACTGGCAAAAAAAAAACCAAAAAAACTGTCTAAGTCTATAAAAAAGGTCTCAATGGCTGGGAAGGTGGCTCAGTGGTAAAGTGCTTGCCTAACATGCATGAAGCCCTGGATTCGATTCCTCAGCATCACATAAACAGAAAAAAAAAAAAAAGCTGGAAGTAGCACTGTGGATCAAGTGGTAGAGCGCTAGCCTTGAGCTGAAGAGCTGAGGGACAGTGCCAAGGCCCAGCCCAGAGTTCAAGCCCCACAACTGAGAAAAAAAAGAAAAGAAAAAAAAAAAAAGCAGGTCTCAAAAGATACACTATAAATTTTAGTACTGATTTCCACAGCGGGTAGGAATATGTATCAATTCTTCATCTTATTTATTTTAACATAATATATAAATTTGCTTAAACTGTTTAAAATAAGCATAAATTTAAAAAAATTAATTCTGCTGGGTACCTGTGACTTATACTTGTAATCTTATCTATTCAGAAGGCTAAAATCTGAGGATCCCAGCTTGAATCTAGCTGGGGTAGACAAATCTGACACTCTTATAACCAAAAAGCTGGAAGTAGAGATGTGGCTCAAGTGGTAGAACATCAGCCTTGAGTGAAAAAATCAAGTGAAAGAATGAGGCCCTGAGTTCTGGCACAAAAAAGAAAGAAAGCAACAAAGCAAGAGAAAGCAAGCAAGCAAGCAAGCAAGGAAGGAAGGAAGGAAGGAAAGAAGGAAGGGAGAGAGGGAGGGAGGGAAGGAATGAGGGAGGGAGAGAGGGAGGGAAGGAGGGAGGGAAGGAGGGAGGGAGGGAGGGAAGAAAAGTCAGACACTGGTGGCTCATGCCTGCAATCCTAGCTACTCAGAAGGCTACAATCAGAGGACTGCTGTTCAAAGCCAGCCTAAGCAGTTCTGTGAGACTTTTATCTGTAATTAACCAGCCCCCTGTTTGTACTAGAAAAAAATGTGTGAAAATTATAAATGCCCATGCATTGGGACATGAACAAATAAATCATGGTACAATTACATTGTAAAATGCTATCTGGCTATTTAAAATAATGAGACAGATTCATGTGCGCTAAAATGAAACTATCCCAAAGCCAGATGTATGTGGGGAAAAAAAGGTAGCACAGCCAGGCGCTGGTGGCTCATGTCTGTAATCGTAGATACTTAAGAGGTTGAGATCTGAGTATCATAGTTCAAAGTCAGCCCAGGTAGGAAAGTTTGTCAGACTCTTATCTCCAACTAATCACCAGAAAACCAGAAGTGGCACTCTGTCGGGGACAGAGAAAAGGCTCTGAGTTCAAGCCCACAACTGGCAAAAAAAAAAAAAAAAGTAGTATTACACTGTCAGAGAAGATCTCCAGAAGGAAATTCAAGAAATGTTATCATAACCGATTTTGAAGAGAAACTGGGAATACTTTGTAACTTAGATATATTACCAATTCCAATTAATTCATGTTGTTGCAACATGCTGAGCATCTAAAAGTTAAATATAAAATGTTTGCTATAAAATCTGAAATGTTGTCTCTCATTTTAACCTTTAAATTCTGAAGCTGTTAAAGCAGTAGTGACAACAAGCGGCTACTTACATCAACACCTCCAAATAAGTCAAAAATATATGTATTTGGATAAGTGGTTTCTTGAGTAAGTTTCCTATCTTCAGTGACAAATGCCATAGCCTCCATGGAGAGAAGAGGAGAAATTTCCTAGTTTAAAGAAACAAAACAAAACACTAAACATTCTGTTTTATGAATGTGACATTAAAATTTCTGTTAGTATTTTAAATCCTCATGAGCACATCCCCCAAAGAATCGCACTCCATAGTATCCAGATCTTAAGAGTCCTTTCCCACATTGAATCTGGGCTAAGGTTAATTAATGAGGCAAAAGTGGCAGTATGCCATGCTGGCATAAGCTTTAAAACCTAGTAGAATTGGCTTTTGCCATCTTGGAACATAATTCTCATGCTGTGAGAAACCAACATGGGACAGGCTGGGAAGAGGAGAACTGAGCCAGGACTTAGATCCTTAGACAACCTCCAGCTGACAATCAGCACCAAACTACCAAGAATGTCAAGTGAGACCATTTGAGATATTGAAGATGTCGTCATCCAATAATACCACATGGAGCAGAAGAATCATTCAATCAGCCAAGAATGGTTGGTTATTTGATGGTGGTTGTTATCAAGCTACTAAGTTTTCCCATAACTAGCTTTATAACAGTACCTAAATTGGCTCAAATGTCACCTCCTAAAGGAAGTCTGTCTTCCCTGTTTCCTCCATTCAAAAGCACTCTGATCTTCCTCTATCAAGCCTATCTTATTTCTTTCCTATACTAAATGTTTCCTAAGTATGTATTCCTTCTGCACTTGAGGCAAACGGTTGTTTAATACAGTAGATACAGGGCAGCAGTTCTCATTCAGGGGCCACGTCATATGGAATACACAGTGGAAAAAAATGTTACAGAAAAGCCTGCAGTGAAGTATGGCTTCAAATATAATTTTGCTGGATGAATAAAGAAATGATGACCTCATTTTAAGAGCACACAGATGTTAATTTCCTCTCTGTCCTTAGCCTCAACTCTGTATCTTAGACATTTTGCAAAAATCAAATGAAGTAATACACTTTTTTTGGTGGTACTAAAAGGGTTGAACTCAGGATCATGCACTTGAACTACATTCTCATCCCTTGAAATAATGTATAATTTTTTGGAAAGCATTTTCAAAGCAAGAATAAGAGGTTATAGCCAGGCGCCAGTGGCTCACACCTGTAATCCTAGCTACTCAGGAGGCTGAGATCTGAGGATCACAGTTCAAAGCCAGTCCAGGCAGAAAAGTCCATGAGACTCTTATCTCCAATAAACCACCAGAAAACTGGAAGTGGCGCTGTGGCTCAAGTGGTAGAGTGCTAGCCTTGAGCTGAAGAGCTGAGAGACAATACCCAGGTCGAGTTCAAGCCCCATGACTGACCAAAAAAAAAAAAAAAAGAGAGAGAGAGATTATAATTACTTCGATCAGAATGTAAGATCAGGAGAAAATATGAATCTCAAACAAAGTTTATTTAGAGATTATTTTTATGTGTATGTGTGCCAGTCTCAGAACCTGGGTGCTGTTCCTAAGCTGTGCTTTTTGTGCTCAAGGCTAGCACTCTACCACTCTGAGCCACAGCTCCATTTCACACTTTTAGGTAGTTATTAAGATAAAAATCTCAGACTTGGGGCTGGGAAGGTGGCTCAGTGGTAGAATGCTTGTCTTGTATGCATGAGGCCCTGGGTTCAATTCCTCAGCACCACATAAGCAAAAAGAAAAAAGCTGGAAGTGGCGCTGTGGCTCAAATGGTAGAGCGTTAGCCTTGAGCTGAAGAGCTGAGGGACAGGGCCCAAGCCCAGAGTGCAGGCCCCACGACCAGATCCAAAAAAAAAAAAATCTCAGATTTTTCTGCCCAGGCTGGCTTTGAACTGTGATCCTCAGATCTCAGCCTCTTAAATAGCTGGGATTACAGGCATTAGCCACTTGTGCCAAGCTGTAACTATTATATCTTAGAACAACTTCTATAATCTACCATTAAACCTTCATCTCTGAAGTATCATTTAGTTTCACTGTGATCAAATATGTTTACAAAGGTTGTAACTGTAGCTAAGATGCTTACTACAAAGTCACATTTGGGCCCAATACAATGCTAAAGTTTGAATAAAGTAACCTCAGACCTAATTACTCTAAAACTCAGCAAGTGGGGCCAAGCACTGTGATAGACTCTCAAGTTTGAGAACAGTTCCCTAGAACAAGGTCTTTGCATTCTCTCACCCCTTTCCTACATCAAACCTAGAGCCTTTGATTTATTTTATGTTAATGATAATTACTAACAACCACATGGTCTCTTCCATGAACCTTCAGAAACATAAGGTCTTCTAAACTCTGTTCAAAGGGAATGAATGCTATCCAGGACTAGGGTATATATAGCTTAGAGTGCTTACACAGCATGTGCAAGGCTCTGGGTTCAATTCTAATCACTGTGGGGCAGAGGACAAAAAAAAAAAAAAAAGGTAAAGGTACAGAAAAGCCTACTGTGAAGGTCTCAATATGATTTTGCTGGATGAATAAAGAAATGATGATCTCCAAACCCGAGGCATAGTGTTGAAGACCTTCCCAATTAAGCAAGCACTGCTACAAAATAAACATGAAGAAAGCGAGAAGTATGTATACAGGAAACCTAATAGCAATTATCTTTAAATGGTGAATACTAGTGATTTTCTTTTTTGCACTCTTTCTGAACTTACTAAATTTTCTACAGCTCACATAATTAAAACAAGCTATTTTTGAAAGGAAGACAGAGGTCCTGAATACAGCCCCTTCAATGCCCACTAAGAGTTACCTTGAGGATGTTTTGGCACTCGACGAAGTCACTGTGGAGGTGGCTGGTGGCATACAGCTTAAGGAGCAACTGAGGAATTCCACTCCATTTGGACTGTTTATCCCTCTCAGTCAAAAAAGTCTCAGTGAACTGTGAATCAATAAGAGGAAAAAAGAACATTTTACTGGTGAAGAAAGATCTAACCCCAGACATGACAAAGGAGAGCAGCTGACTCCCAAACACACCCAGGAGAACAATTCAAAGGCCACTCTGTAGACACCTTCAAAAATTCCCTAATGGCCTAAGAGCTAGAAATCCAACCTCATGCCTTGTAATATTAATACCCTCTACAATCTACCCTCTACTTTTCAGCCTCGTCTCTTTCTCAGTGGAAAGTATGGCTCCAAACTCACATGTTCTCTCTTTCTATGTTCCTCTGTACATGTTCTTGCCCAAAATGCTACATTTTCTACCTGAAGTGCTCATTCTTCAAAATGCAAACTATAGGTCAGAAACATTCTAGATTAGTCTTCCTCCCTAAGAGATTAGGTGACCCCTCCTTTAAGCTTTATCTCTTATATAATTTATCCTTCTGTATCATAACTAAAAGTTCATTTGTATCTTCCTTTATCAATTAATTGCAGAGTGTCTGGCACAGAACAGAGACTCAGTAAATATTTCAAGGCATGAATAATATCAACAACACAATGACAGAGCCATTAATTAAGACAATTTTCACTAAACATGTTTGTGTCAGGGGCCATATTTGAATCCCTTCCATGTGCCTCAATCAGATAAAAAGTTTTCTATAAAAGCTGTTAGTATCAGACAAACAGATTTTCAGTAATGTGTGAATTCTATCCTAATGCATACAACTTAGTCCTATAGTAATGGAAAGTCTCAATATTCTTCCTTGGCTTGTATGCTTAGGTTATAAAACAAGGGTATGGCACAAGGTAATGAGACATTCAGAGGAATACTTGTCTCTTGGTAAAACAGGAAATTACTACTTCTGTACCTCGCAAATGATTGAATACCAATAATTTCATATTATTCAAGTTGGCCCAAATCAATGCAAGCTTAAAACAACAAATATGGCTTATATTTCAAAGAAATATATATATATATGTATATATATATATATACACATATGCCAAAGAAAGAAAACAAGATTATGAGAGCTAGCAAAGCAGCACTTATGGAAAAAATTGTAGTTATAAACAATGATATTAAAGCAGAAGACAGATTATTCATCAATACTCTAGGCTTCCACCACAAAAAACTATGAAAAAGGGGTGCTTTAAACACAACCAAGCACAAGAATATATAAAAGATTGTGGCAGAAAGAACAGTAAAATCAATGAAACCAAAAGTTTCAAGTTTCACTGAAAAGACCAATAAAACTGACAAACCTTTGGCTATACTGACCAGCTTCTACAGGCTTAAGTTACATTTATGAGTTAAAGTGGGAATACTACGACCAACTTTACAAAATTAAAAAGGATTACAATGGAGTAATATGAAGAGTAACATGCCAACAAATTAGATAACCTAAACAAATAGGAAAACTACTAGAAAAACAAACTGTAAAACTGACTTAAACAGTACAGTGAATATATCTTTTACAACAACAAACCAAATTAGTGATACTTTAAGTTTTTTCATTATTATAAAGAAGATGTACAGAGAGGTTTACAGTCTCATAAGTCAGGTAAAGAGTACATTCCTTTTTGGACAATGTCACCCCTTTACTAGCTCTCTCCCAGTTTTTCCTTCAGTGACTTTTTTAAGAAGAAAAACTTGAGCTGGGCGCCAGTAACTCATGCTTATAATCCCAGCTACTCCGGTGGCAGAAATCTGAGGATCACAACTTGAAGCCACGACAGGGAAGTCCGTGGTGAGACTCTTATCTCCAATTAACCATCAGAAAACCAGAACTGGTCCTGTGGCTCAAAGTGGTAGAGCACTAGGTTTAAGCAAAAAAAAAAAAAAAAAAGCTTAGGGCAGGGACAGCACCCAGGCCCTGAGTTCAAGCTCCATTATTGACCAAAAAAAAAAAGTATACTTCCTTTTGAACAATGTAACCCCTTCCCTTGCTGTCTGCCAACCTTTCCCTCCTATCCCCACCCACAAGTTGTATAGTTCATTTTCAACATAGTGTCTAGTGAGTACCACTACTCCATTTGTTCACCCTTTGTCCTTTCATTTGTATGCCCCCCTTCACTCCCAAAGACAAAAAGAAAACAACAACAAAGAAAAAAAAAACAACCTCTTGTTTCCATTTCCCGGAGTTCATTTCAATAAATGGTATTTTTCAGGCTGGGAAGGTGGCTCAGTGGTAGAGTGCTTGCCTTGCATGCCTGAGGCCCTGGGTTCGATTCCTCAGCACCACATAACCAAAAAGAAAAAAAAGCTCAAAGTGACGCTGTGGCTCAGGTGGTAGAGCGCTAGCCTTGAGCTGAAGAGCTGAGGTATAGTGCCCAGGCCCAGAGTTCAGGCCCCATGACTGGACCCAAAAACAAAACAAAACAATAAATGTTATTTTTCTTTTTTCTTTTCTTTTCTTTTTTTTTTGTTCTCGGTGGTGGGGCTTGAACTCTGGGCCTGGACGCTGTCCCTCAGCTCTTCAGCTCAAGACTAGTGTTCTACCACTTGAGCCACAGTGCCACTTCCAGTTTTCTGAGTGGTTTATTGGAGACAAGAGTCTTGTGGACTTTCCTGCCTGGGCTGGCTTTGAACTGTGATCCTCAGATCTCAGCCTCCAGAGTAGCTAGGATTACAGGCATGAGCCACCAATGCCCAGCAGTAAATATTATTTTATATGATCAGATGAACATAGTCATTTTGCCTTTGTGATCCTCTCCTAAGAACATCCTCCTTTGGTCTCACTGTGTGAATGCCTATCTCTAACCACACTTTTTTTTTTTTTGTCAGTCATGGGGCCTGAACGGGCCTGGGTGCTGTCCCTCAGCTCTTCAGCTCAAGGCTAGTGTTCTACTACTTGAGCCACAGAGCCACTTCTGGCTTTTTCTGCTTATGTGGTGCTAAAGAATCGAACCCATGGCCTCATGCATGTAAGGCAAGCACTCTACCACAGAGCCCACTCTATCCAGCCCCCAAAAGCCACTTCTGCGGACCTGTGGCCCAAGTGGTAGAGTGGCAACCTTAAGCAAAAAAGTCCAGGCTCTGAGTTCAAGTCCCAGTACTGTCACCAAAAAGCAAAGCAAAACAAAACAAAAATAACTCTGTTAAAAGAAATTAAGAAGCAGGGTGCCAGTGGCTCATGCCTATAATCCCAGTTACTCAGGAGGCTGAGATATGAGGATCGCGGTTCAAAGCCAGCCTGGGCAGGAAACTCTGTTACATTCTTATCTCCACTAAATCACCAGAAAACTGGAAGTGGCACTGTGACTCAAGTAGTAGAGCGTTAGCCTTGAGCTGAAGAGCAGAGGGACAGCGCCCAGGCCCAGAGTTCAAGGCCCACAACCAAAAAAGAAAGAAAGAAAGAAAGGAAAAGAAAGAAAGAAGAAAAAAAGAAATTAAGACACTCAGGAAACTGAGGCAGGAGAACCAAGTGCCAGCTTGAGTTATGCAACAAGAACTTGTCTCAAAACAGAAAAAAATAGAGACATATTCATATTCATGGATGGGAAGATTTAGTATTACTGAAAAAGCAATACCCACCATATTATTAGTCCTAAAATAGCGGTATTCTTTATATTGATTCAATCTAATTCCTACTAAAATCCCAGCTGGCTTCATTGTATACATTTACAAGCTAATCTTAAATTTCATGTGGAATTTGATTAGAATATAGTGTCTAAAATGTACAAACTTGTAGCTCAAAAAATTCAATTAAAAAATTTCCCATTCACGAGGCAATATGTTGGAAATGAACTTTACAACTTGGGAGGATGGGGAAAGGAAAAATGGGAGAAAAATGAGGGAAGAGGTAACAATGTTTGACAAAAAATGCACTCATTACCTTACGTATATAACTGTAACTGATCTGTACATCACCTTGACAATAAAATTAAATTAAAAAAAATTGGAAGTGGTGGTGTGGCTCAAGTGGTGAAGAACTGGCCTTTAGCTGAAGAGCTGAGGGACAGCATCCAGGCCCACAGTTCAAGCCTCACGACCAACAGAAACAAAAAACAAAAACAATTTTGGGGGCTGGGAAGGTGGCTCAGTGGTAGAGTGCTTGCCTTGCATGCAGGAGGCCCTGGGTTTGAGTCCTCAGCACCACATAAACAGAAAAGCCAGAGTGGCGCTGTGGCCCAAGTGGTAGAGTGCTAGCCTTGAGCTGAAGAGCTGAGGGACAGCGGCCAGGCCCAGAGTTCAAGCCCCATGACCAACAAAAAAAGAAAAATTTCCCCAGCCAAGTGCTGGTGGCTCATACCTGTAATCCTAGCTACTCAGGAGGCTGAGATCTGAGGATGGCAATTCAAAGCCAGCAGGGGCAGGAAAGTCTGTGAGACTCTTATCTCCAATTAACCACCAGAAAACTAGAAGTGGTGCTATGGCTCAAGTGGTAGAGCGCTAGCCTTGAGCTGAGGGACAGTGCCCAGACCCAGAGTTCAAGCCCCATGACAGACCAAAAAAAAAAAAAAAATTCCCATTGGCCAGATGCTGGTGGTCCACACCTGTAATCCTATTCAGGAAGTTGAGATCTGAGATTGTGATTCAAAGCCAATCTTGGCAAGAAAGTCCTTAAGATTCTTATTCTCTAATTGACCAGCAAAAAGCCAGAAGTGGAGCTGTGGTTCAAGTGGTAGAGTACTAGCCTTGAACAAAAAAAGCTCAGTGACAGTGATCAGACCCTGAGTTCAAACCCCAGAACTGGCTCATGCACATGCACACACAGACAAGATGACATAACAGAAAAATGTGTGAGAGATCTGAACAAGTACTTCACAAAAGGGGGTGTCCAAACAGGCAATAAAGTTCTAAGAAGCTCAACCTCATTAAGTCATCGGTTGAATACAAACTAAAACCACAATGGTATGCCACTAAACTTGTGAGAAAGGCTAAAATTAAAGATACAAAACTATGGGTTGCAGGAATATGGAACTGATAGACCTGGCTGATGGGGTGAATGTCACCGCAAACACTTGAGAAACTCTGACAACAGGCATCAATGCTGAGCC